TAGCTAATATATTAAGATTTTAACCGCAGTCGTTAAGCTAAAATACTATTTTAATAAAATAAATAATTAATATAAGTCGGCCTAGTCCGATAATTATAAAGGCGGCGTGCGTAATATTAGTAAGACGAATATTATAACTAAAGTAAACTATATAAATTAATAAAATAAGTAATATATTTTAATTAAGCAATATATATAATACTCTAATACTTTATTAATAAAGGATATAACTAATTAAGCATCCGGTATAATACTCTAATAATACTATAATAAATAAAATTTTCTAATTAAGTACGTAGCGTTAATAAAGGTTTTTTATTAATAGAGGTTCTTATTTAGTAAAAGCTCTACTCTGTTACTTTATAGATCTAATTAAAATATATTCTATAACTAAAGAAGGCATAGTACATATCATTAGTATTTATTTAAACTATATCAGAAATATAAATCTAAATTAATTTTTACTTATTTAATAGCTTTATAAATTATATTACTATATAGCTACTACTACTTACCCTTACTATATTATTTTTATTAAGTAAATATTTCGAGCTTAATATACGCTAACTAAAGCTATAGTACGCCCTAAATTTTAAAATATTAAACGCAATATAAACGCAATACGGATATAATAAAAAAGGGCGTAATAAGAGAGGGCATAATATACTTATAATAAGAAATATAAAAAGAATTAATAAAATATAATAAATAAGAGAATCTATAAAAAAATAAAATAAATAAATAAAATATTAAACTTAGTCTAAAAAAATAAACATACTTTATAAATACTAATTAAGAACGCCCTAAAGTACTTAAAAAAAATTAGTACTATATCGGGGTAAATAAAAACTAAGAAACGAACCTTTAATACAATATAAAAATATAAGATTTTAAATAATATACCTAAAATAAAAATTAGCTTAGTTCTAAAGCATAAAATAAAAAAAATAAACAAACTTTAATTAAGTAATTAACTTACCTAATTAAGTACAGTTATCCCTCTTACAACTAGAAGTTAAAACTATTAAAAAAAAGATTAATAAAATACGAATTATAATAATATACATAATATAACTTACCTCTAAAAAATATAATAATTAAGCAATAATAAAAAAGTATCTATATAAAATTAGTTATATTAAAATAACAACTAGGGATATAAGCAGATACTTACTAAATATACGTTTAGTAAATATCTTATTAAATACTATATATTAATAAAAAAGAACTTAAGTATAGCTAAAATAGAGGGGTAATAATAAAATAAAGCCTAGTAATAAGCTTAATAAATAATAAAAGGGGAGTAACTAACTTATACACTAGCACTATAATATTACTAATACACCTAGCTAAATAAAGCATTTAAGCTTAAAAAGCGTAAAAATATAATATTAAAAAAATATAATAGCATTACTCCGTAAACGTCTATATTAATAGATCCCTAAGTACTTTACTAATTAAAAAATAACTAACTAAAAGATATTATAAATATATTATTTAAGTCACTAAGGTCTATAAACCGAGCGGGCGCCTATTTTATAAATTAATATATTATAATATCGAACCGGGTATAATTATTAAATCCTACTAAATTAATATAACAAAAAAAAACTAATTAACTACTAAAATAAAATAAAAATAATTTTAAGAAAAATAAAAAAAATAGCTTATATATATTAAGTATACTTAAAAATATCCTAACTAATCGCAATTAACATAACAGACTTTAACATACCTTTACTACTAATATAAGCAAAAATAATAGTACTCCTCAGGAATTAAAATACTCTCATAAATAAAAGCGTTAATAATCTATAATAAATAAAAAATATAATAAAAGAGTCGTACTTATATATAAAGTATATAGAGCAATTACCTACGATTATACGGGTAGGTCAATACGTTTAGCGAGTAAATTAAATAAATAAATAAAAAAGTTTATTAAAGCGGGGAGGGGAAAAGTAATAAAATAAAAAAGTATAAATAAAAAGCTCTTATACGTACGGGGCTCGGCTCATAAGTTTACTAAGCTAATTAAATATAAAAATTATTACCCTCCCTAGCTATACCAAATACTTTATTATTAGCCTATCTCTTATAAAATCCGCTTATATAAGATTCTAATTTATAAATAAAAAGCCTAATATATATTAAATCTAAACTACTCTAAAAATTCTAAATTAATTTCTAATAATAATTATTAAGTTAAGTAAAATCCTTAATTATATACCTAAGCTTTTATAGCTTATATTTATAATTTAGACTATTTAATAAAATATACCTTAATATTTTTATTATATCTTACGAGATTAAGAGGCTATATTTTATACTACCTAAACTTATAAAATAACTAGTAATAAACTTAGCTAATCTAGTTAAAGTATCTTACGGGGTATACCTTATAAAAAAAGCTTCTATTTCTTTAACTTCTTACTATTTATATAAAAAATTCCTTCTTAATTTTTAATTTAAATTAAAAAGATATTAAGAAATATCTTACTTATTATACTATATTTTCTCTAAGGATCCTACTAATTACTTAAGGTATTTTATAAAATTCGTAACGAGCTATATAGGCTAATAACTTTATTAAAAATATATCTAAAGTACGGGAGTATTTAGTAAATCTCGTTAAGAGACCGTATATATATTTTACTTATTAAACTAGTTAGTTATTTAATAAAAATAGCTAGTAAAATTTAATAAATAGCCAACTCTTTTAAATTAAGAATATATTATAAAAAGGGTATATTAACAAGCTATCTCCTCTCTAAACGACCTATTCTCTATCTAGTTTAATCATTAATAAGCTAATAATATATTAATTTTTTATAAGTAAATAAACGGGGTAGCTAAGAAATTTATTTTTATATTCAATACTAAAGAGTTTATTTATAGAGGTAATAATAAAAAAAATTTAAAAAGTATAATTAACTTAATAAGCAAATATACTATCTAAACATATAAAATAATTACGTACCTAAATAAAATAGCTAACTAAAAAAGAAATATTACGAAATTTATTAAAAAAAAGAAGGTATTAATAAGATAATAAATAGTATTTTAAAAATAAGAACTAACATAATAATAAAAAATACTTTATTAACCTATCTAAGTAGTATAAGTTTTTACGTAATAATATTATAATACTTATAATTAAGCTCGTATATTATATAAAAATTATAATTAAAAATATTATCGCGCTCTAAATAATAAAAGAAATTAATATTTATAAAAAGGCCGGATTATTTAGTAATATAAGCTCATTTAAAAATACCCCGGAAGCGCGGGTTAGAATAGGTACTATTATTTATAAAATTAAATTATATAAGTATTTCCTCTATCTCTTCCTCTCTAAATATACCGATTTATAATTTATTTTTAATTCGCCTTATAAAAATTAAGTAGTCGCTTCAAAAACTTATAAAATAATTATAAACTTATAAATAGCTATACTTATATAAGCCTATAAAACTAAAAAAGTTTACTTTTCGTACTTACTCTTTATAAACGAGAGTAATAGCAGTATTATAATAATTCGTTTTCGTAATATTAACCTTATACTTACTAAGTATTCTACTATTAATATATATACCGGATCCTTCTTTTTAATTAACTAATTCTTACTAATACTTATTTTTACTTAATAAAATAAAAATATTATAATAAGAACTATATATCCAGAAGACTTCTTATAAATATTTCCTAATATAAATATTAAATAATATTCTTAACCTTACTTAGTTTTTAGCATCCTTTTTTTATAAATAAGTATTAAGATTCCGTTCTCTATCCTCTATAACTAAAGTAATATTAATAAAATTAATATACATAGTAGCGTTACTAATCTAACTTATATTATTAAAGATATTACTAAACTCGCTCATAGCTTAATCTTTATTTATTAACTAAAAGCAACTTTATAATAATACCTTTCTCACTCTTTTTTTATTAAACTTAGATTCGTTATTAATTAAACACAACGTTACTTAAAAAAGAAGTTATAAAGACTTATAACTAATAATAAGTATATTTTTAAATTTATCCTTACTAAAGTAAAGAGCATATTTCCTATATATTTATATATTAGACTTAGTAATATTCTAAAATACTATAATAAAGATATTAATAGCGTTATTTTCTATAGTATTAAGCTTTATTAATAAAAAGTTAGGAGCCTCTAAAATAATAATAATAATAAAAGATAATATAATATATTCAATTTAAAACTAATAATATAAAAGAACTAGTATTATAATTAATACTATCCTAGCTTCTATAATCTACTACGAATCTAAATAAATAACTAATAACTATATTTTTTTAAAACCTAAGAGAATTAAAAATAATTAAAAAATATTAATATACCCTAAGAATAACGACTTTTTTAAGGCATATTTAACTAATACTCACTATATATATTTTACTAATAACGTTAATTTAAAATATACTATATTAACGGGCCTTATATAATAAGGGTTTAGAACTAAAATAAATATTTATATAACTTTAAGCACTATTAATTAGTTAATAATACCGAACTTAGTATATACTACCTTTTACTTCGCTATAAACCCTACCCTATTAACTTTTTTATAAATACCCTATATAAAATAATAAAAGTAGCTATTTTAAATAATATTAAAAACTAGGTTACTATAGAGCGTTTTTAATATAAAATAGCTATAATAAGGTTTATTCGCTTAGTAACTAAAATAGTTTATAAGCTCTTATTACTATACTATATTACTAACAAAGTAAAATAAGAATACGTAAATAAATATTTCTTAACCTTAAACTAATATTATGTAGTGGTTTTTTTTCCGGCTTTATAAGTATAAAAGATCGACCTTAACGGGATTACGCTTTTAAAGGAAATTATACGATATAGTATACTTTTTAATTATATAATACGCGTAATATATCCTAAGTACGCGCTTAACGTAATATAGTAATTTTAATATAAAAACCGCTATTTAATTTAGGATAAGTAAGCTGCCCTACGGCAGCGCCGGCCGGAAAGGTCGACGGTAGAGGTCGGCCGTAATGGTTGGCTATAATAGTTAGCCGTAATAGTCGGCCGTAATAGTCGGCCGTAATAGTCAGAGGCGGCCTTCCTTAACCGCAGAGGTTCTGAACTTTAATAGCGACGTAGAAGTTTCTAAAGAAAGGGCTAAATAGGCTAATATCTACTGCTCTTCTTCCTCTTATATCAGTCGTTGTTTAGTACATTACGAAACTTACATCGTACTTGCCGTACCAGAGCTCGCAAAGATTCTTTCTATCCTCATCGCTTCTAACATTGCCTAAAGCTACTCTCTATTTAAACCAAACAAATCCACTAAACAAATCCACTAAATAAACCCATTAATACATAAACCACTACTCCAAAGATGCCCGTTAATAAGTCTGCCCCTCTCAGGCTAGGCGCCCTCGGCTAGCTCGACGCTATAACTATCGTAACTAACGTAAGTATGCCTAAGAAGTAGTAAAGTACTTTCTGGTAGTACGGAATTTAGCTAGGTAATATTATAAGTACCGTAGATAACCGGGCCGGTACGGATACTAAGATCCGGTATATCGATACCGGCCTAGTTATAATAGCTACGATAGACGGGCCGGAGGTATATAGGGTTAAGGTAATAAGCCGGCGCCTTAAATAGCTCCTACGGGACCCCCTAGGTAACGATAATACTTATATAAAAAAATAAATTATACTAAACCTAGCTACCTACGCGGGCTAGTACTAAGAGGTCTTATATACGTTAGAGTAAGTAAAGCTCGCTTTATAAGCGGGCGGTAGAAAGTTAGGAGCTATTTTAATTAGTAGTTAGGTATAGAGCGTAATATACCTAGTTTTCTCTAATACGTAATATACGGTACGGCCCCGGCAGATTGCTCTATTAGGGGGAAACTAATATTATATAACCTTAGTTAAGTACTACGAATTAAGCTAGATTTTATAATACTTTTATATTATCTAAGCTAAAAGGAGCTAGTATAACTAAGAGTATATTTAATTTCCTTATATTAATATAATTAAGAAAAAAGGCTAGTAATATATAAAGTCCTAGAATCGACCGGTATATATTATAATATACTCTAAAAGCGTTATAAAAAAACTTAAAAAAAAGGGAGATTACGTTCTCCTTATTAAAATAGATCGTAAACTAGTTTTTAATATATTTTTAAAGTTTAAGCTTATTATAATAGGGGTTTAAAATTATTAGGGGCTAAAAACTATTTGCTTTACTATTTAGAATATAATAAATAATAAAAGCCTATAACTCGGGGGGCAACTATATACTAAGCTCTTAAAGAACGTATATATAAAAAAGATATATATTAAATCTATTAACTATATAATTTATTAATAATATAATCTCGAGATTCTTAATAAGGATAAGTTCTTATTATATTAGTTAACTAAGGTTAAATTTAAAAAGCGTATTAAAAATATTATAACTTTATTAAATAAGGAGCGTATTTAATATAAATATTAATACGATATAAACTATATTAAGTTTATTATTATACCTAAGCTTAGCGTTAAATAAATAATTAATATTATACTAAGTTACTTAGCTAAAGTATCGCTATAATAATTTAATATAATAGTCTTTTTAATATATATAGAATACGAAGTTAAAAAGGAAAATAGGCTTCTTATCTAAGTAATAATAGAACTTACTTAATATCGTCCTTAAAAACTCTTTCTAAACTCTTACTTACTATAGCTCGTAGTTACTAAGCTTATATTATATTATACTATAATATATTAGTTTAGATAGTAATACTAAATCTAAAAACGCTTATAATATAGTTTATAAATTAAAAAATAATATATTTTTAATATACGACGCCCTAAATAGTAACTTAGCGGGGTTAAGCTTTATTATAAGCTTTTAAAATTAGCTAAGAGGGAGCTATAATTTAAACTTTATAAAAAAGTAATCTTTTTTTTTTAGTAATACTTATAGCTCGTATTCTAATAAAATCTTAAGGATTTTAACTAAAGAAGCCTATATAAACCGTAATATATTTACTTTTTATAAAAATAATACGAACTTAAACTTTATAAGCGTTATAATAAGGTTTTTTACGTTATATTTAATAATAATAGTCGGGTTATATAAAAGGGTTCGAGAGCTTAGGCTAGCGGGAGTATTAACTATATTACTTTTTAATTCTAGTAAGTTAATTAATAAATACAGTTTATTTTTATTATTTCTTATAGAATCTTTTTTAAAGTCTTTAGTTTCGAAACTCGGATAGATAATATTAACTCGAAGTAGTATATTAGGAATAGCTTTAAGAAGTAGTTCTTATTTATTATTTTCCAGTTTATTACTTATATTATCTAAGATACTACTCTAAATTATTTATATAGTATTAAGTATATTAGTACTAACTTTACTATTTTTATCCTCTTATAATTATAACTAATTTAGTTCCTCTAGGCTTACTAAGTCGAAGTTAAAAAATATACCCCTAATTTTATTAGTATTTTTATTATAATTTAACTAATTAGTAATATTACGCTAAATATCTATTTTTTATAGCTCCTTTTATAATTTAAAGCTTTTTAACTTCGGAATTTCGATTTTACTAATAAAGCCTCGTTTCTTCCCTTTTATAGTTTTTATATAAAGAAATAATAATCTCGATATTATATATTAGCTCTAAAAAATATAAGTTAACTTAAAAAAAACTTAAGTAAGCTAAATAGAGAGAAAATCTTAATAAAACCGTTTCTTACTTTATAATCTATATAAAAGAGCTTATATAAACTTATAATAAATCCATAGGCCTTAAGCACCTTCCTTTTCTTAAATTTTTACTTTTTTTTTCTCTTATTACTAACTTTTATTATATTAAGTACGTTAATTTATTTTTATATTCGGATTTATTAAAGCTCTAATTATTATAAATTTATTTTCTTTTTTTATTTTAATAAATTATAACTTATTAAAATACTATATATAAAGCCTTACGCTTATTAAATACTAAATATTAAAATAATATATCGAACCTAAGTAACTTTACTAGGGGCCTAGGCTTAGACTTTAATAAGAGTACTATACCACTACCCCTATTTTAAAATAAGTTAAAAAAAAAGCTTTTTAAATACTTTAATCGCTCTAAAAATAAACTAAAAAAATTAAATAAAAATCGGCCTATTATATTATTAAACTATAAAAATAAGAATAAAAATAAAAATTCTTATATTAAGGATTCCTAGCGCAATCCTAAAATAAATAAATCTATAACTAAGAAGTTTTTTTTTAAAAAGAAACGACTTATTAAAAATAAGGGTAATAATAATAAAAAGGATAATAAAAATAAGAATAAAATATCTAGCCTAAGTAATAAAAAGATTAAGAAGTTCTTAACTCGAGAAATTATATATTATTTATTTTAACCTTTTTTATATCTAAAGTTTTTTAATACTAACTTTATTATAAAAAGCGACTACTATTACTAAAGTAGTTAATAAGAATAAGAGGGAGTATATTATAAAAATTAATAAAAAGTAAACTATAAAACTCTAATTACTTTTTAAAGAATTCGAGAAGTAATAGCGTCGCGCTATTCTTACTATTTTAAATAAATATTTTATTAATAATATCGTTAATATCTTTTTTAAATAGTTCGAGGGCCCCGAATTTATATAAATTTACTAACTTATAAAGCTCCGAGGTTAGGATAATATAAACTTATAAAAAAATAGAACTATAGCTCGCTTATTAATATATTTACTATATACTTTAATTAATAAACTCTAATATTAATTTTTCTAAAACTATATTCTTATTTTAAAAGAATAGGAATAGCTCCGCTTTATTCCTACGTACTCCGTTAAAAGTACTTAAATATTCTTTATAAAAAACTTTAAAACTAACGAGTTCGAGGTTCTCTTTTATTTTTATAATAGCTAGATTAATATTACTAACTTTATATTATTAGTAAAAACTTAGTATTTAAATAAGCTATCTATACTTATTTATTATATTATCGCTCTTTAATAATATCTTAGTAATCTATATCGAGCTTTATATATTAATTAAATACTATTTATAATAAGAACGTTTAGTAGCGTTATAAAGACTTATTAATAAATATTAACTTACGTAATAATAGGTCCTAAACTGCTAGGATATAATTTATAACTATAAAATATATAAAAGTTACTAAATTAAGAACTTTAATAAAATTAAAGAGCGCCCTCGTAGCAGGGCCCTAAATAAAAAAAAAAAAATTATATTCTTTAACGTTAATAATAATATTACAGCTTTTAAGCCTATAGCGAGTACTTTTTTTATTATTAATATTAACTTACTAATGCCTCTAAATAGAACTAAAAGTAGAGATAGAATAGAGTATAAATATATAAGCGCTTAATTTTATAATTTATAAAGTATACGGGAGGTAATTACTAGTTTATATTAGCATTTAAGTTTATATTATAAAATAATATACCGTCCTATAATAATCCTTTTTAAAAGATTACTAAGTTAACTATTTATTTTAAAAGGATTTTATAATAACGTTACAAAAAAATATTTTATTTTAAAAGTTCGGAAAAACTTATATAAAACTACGGGGTATCTTAGCTTAAATAATTACTTATAATATAATATCTCTTAATATTTACTTCGTTATATACTCTCTCCGGCTAGTTAGTAAAATATATTATTTTATATAACCTATTCTACCGCTTATAATAATAATCTTTTAAAATATACGCGCCTTAAATAATTAAGCATTCCCTCTATATCTATTTTATAAATAAATATTAAGCTTTTTATACTTTCAAAGCTCTATATTAAAATAATAAAAATCTTACTATATCTAATATATACCTCGTAATATCGCTTACTACTTTACTACTTTCCATAACTACTCTAAGACTATAAAACTTAGTATAATAGCTCGTATAAGTTAATATTTTCTAATATACCTAGCAGGGACAACTCCTATAGCTTATAAGTTTTTACTAATTAGTAATAGGGGCGTATTAGTATATCCTAAAACGTAAAATATAAGTCCTTACTTAATTAATATTTTATTAGCAAGAGTAAGCTAATATAAATTATACGTTTATTATATAATATAGTCATAGGCCTTGCCATAATTCACTAGCTACTTAATACCCCCCCTCTCTTAATCTAAAGAGGTATTTAATAAATAGTAAAAAAAATAATACTTAGCTCTAAAATCGTCGTTAAATACGAAGAAAAAAATAATAAATAAATAAATTAAATAAAAATAATAAAATTTAAATTAAAAAACCTCAATAATATTAAATAGTATTTATAATATAATTTTTAAAAAAAATAATATTTAAATTCTTAATTAAAAATGAGGTTATAAATAAAAATAATCCCGCTATAAAAATAAATAGTAATATATCTAAATACAAGTCGCTCTTATTAAACTTTAAAAATAATTAAATTTAAAAAAAGGAGTAATTAAAATAGTCGCTAGGTATTAATTATAGAGGTAATTATCTTAGATTTTACTATATAAAACTTAAAACTATTTCTAACTCTTACTTTTTTACTTAGGTAAGTTTTCTCCTCAATAAATCATTATACTTCTTTTATAACCAGAAGTAGTTAAAATATAAAAATTATCTCTTAATTTTATACTCTATAGCTATTACGCCTCTTCTTAATCTCAGTTCTTTACTCAGAAATAACCTTAACTTTATATTAATATTAACATTTATAAAATACTTCGTCCTTTAATTCTACTTTTTCCTTACAAAACTCTACACAATTCCAGCCTTAAATAATTTTTTATATATTATAAAATATTAAGCTTTTATTTAAATAAGGTTTTTATTCCTTAATATTACTCCGAAGTTTCTAATCTTTAGAATAATTTAAAATAGGCTAATAATCTAATAAGAACATCCCTAAGTACTCTTATTATACTAAGCTTATTACGAAATAAGTACCTAAGTAAGTTCTCTTATCCTTATTAATAACTACTATTTTACTAAAGCATTTATTAATTTACTAGCTTTATATAGTACCTATCTCTTTTAATATAATATATTAATTAAATAGCTTAATATACTAATATTACTAAGAGGCCTTATATATTACTAGCTAAAAAGAGCTCGAGGGCTACCTATTTCTCTTAGTAATCGTCTTATATAATAAAAAAAATAACCTTTTTATTAAATATTATAAGTCCTTAGAGAACTAAATTAAAATAGCTTTAGATAGTAACTTAGAAAAAGAAAAGGTAATATATTTATAAGTCCGTACTACCCTTATTAAAAATTAATATAATATAACTAAAGTATTTAGTTATAATATAATTAAAACGGTTAATAATAAAATTATAAATATTTATAAAAGCGACCTAGTTAAGAAGCGGCTAATAAAAATAAGGATTACTAATTAGAACAACGATAACTTATAAAATAAAAATAAAAGTAAGGGCCTAACTAAAGTTTTAAATAACTCTAAGCTTATTAAGAAGTATAAAATAAGGTCTAATAATAAAAAATAGCTTACGTTAAAGAAATAAGTAACTATAAAGAAAATAAAAGTTACTAAGATTATTAAAAAAAATAAGACTTTTATAATAAGTATAATTAAAATACTATTTATTACTTTAATAAATCCTTAAATATTAGGGCTAACGGCTAGAGTGTATATAGCTTTTAATATAGAGTAGTAGCTTAAAGAGTTAAAAGCGCTAACTAACTACGCTATATTAATATATTTAAAAGCCCCCGAGAGTAGTGCCTAGAGCGAACCTAATAACTAACTAAATAGTAAAATTAGTCTAACTACCTAAATAGTAGCACTTATACTTAATAAAAAGCTAGAGAAGCTTCTTAGTATTATTATAAATATATATTATAATAGCGTAAAGGTAGTTTAATATAATATAATAAAAAATAAAATTAACTTAGAAAATAATAGTAAAATTCGGGCGGACTTAGATCTTTAATTTAGTATATTTTCTTTTTCTTAGTACTCCTTTTTTTTATTTAAGCTCTTTTTATTTTAAAATTTAGACGTAGCGTCTAGTATAAAAATAAAGCATATATTAATTACGTACTTTACTTAGGTAGTTTTTATAATTTTATAGCACTACTTTTTTTATTATATTAAGAAGCTTATATATAGTACGTATATTAATTATTTTAATAAGTATATAAGGTCTAATTATTTAGCGGGTAGGCTAGTTAGTAATAAGGGTATATTTTATAGTTATAGCTTAGTATGTTCTTTAACTTAAGCTCTCGAATATAAAATAATTAATCTTTTTATATTAAGTTATAGTAGGCTTATTTTACTTTATATTTTTATTAAATTATAATATATATAAAGGCCCTCTTATCTATATAATAAAGAAATTCGCTAGGCATATAGTATGTATATAGATAAGCCTAGTAGTATATATATTAGGTAAGATAAAGTGCTCTTAATATTTACTATCTTTCTATTCTATCTAAGGGCTTAAAGAGAGGTAGGAAAATAGAGATTACTTTAAACCCCTACTTAATATCTAGTTACCTTACTACCTATTTATTTAATATTATATAAGTAAAGTAAAGTAAGTAAGCTTATAAAAATAAAAATATAAGTTAATTATAATATAAAATATATACTGGGTTAATAAAGTAGTTAATAATACGTTATTATATAAGAGCGCACTATTACTAATTAACGTAATAATAAAAACTTAAAGTACGCGTTTATAATAATAAAAATTAAAAACGTCCGCAGTAATAAGATATAATATATAAAGGGTTATTAAAGTAAGTTAATTAGTAAAATAGTCTTTACGTTAATATAGCCTATCTATATATATTAATACTAAAGTTACTTTTTTCTAACGCAATATTAAACTCTATTTATTACTAATATAATAAATAATAAAGATAAGACGACCTAGCTTCTATCTAAATAAGTCTACTATTTTTTAAACTCCGTTTTTTATTTTAACTAAAGTATAAAAATAAATATAAATATTATAATTACACTACCCTCCTCGCTTACTAATAACAAGATTTTATTATAAAAAATAGCGCTATAAGGAATTAATATTAAAAACGTCAGTCCCCGTATTAAAACTACTTATTAGCTTACTATTGCGCAATCTATATTTATAAATAAAGTTATTAAAATTACGTATAATAACTAACAAAACTATACTAGCATATTAAGCTAAGGTAATAATTCTAAATATTCTAAATATTCTAAATACGAGATAAATATCTCTAAGATCGATCTTATAAGCGTAGTTCTTAAAAAGAAATAGTATTAATTAAAAGAGGTAGAAGTAAAAGTAGAGGTAAAGGTTATATTCTAAAAAGAATATAAAGCGTAACTTACTAAAACTAAAAATATTTACTACGTATAGTTACTAATTACTATTAAGTATAAAGGGTATAACTAAGTAAATAAAAAGTAGCTTTCTCATAATATTAAAAAAATATTTATATATAATCTAACGTATACCGAGGTTAATAAAAAATATATATTAAGAAGATAATTATAATAAGATTTCTAACTAATATTATAATATATACTATAAACGGTAGTAATTTTAATAATCTATAAAACCTTATAAATCCTAAAATAATAGGCCCCACGACTTTATATTAAGTATTAATAACATAACTATAAAGCTATTATTTTAATTAAATATACGCCGTAATAAAGCTTTTAATATAATAAAAGCGTACTAAAAAAATAACTTTAAGACAATATATAATTAGGATATATATATAAACTAGTATATCTTAGTAAAATAAGTATTACTACTTATAAAATAATATAAGATTAAAAAATAGTTATTATAGCATAATAAAGCCTTTAATTACTAAGTATATATATAAATTTCACTAATATAAGATCGGTAATAAAAAATTTTTAATATAAAATTTTAGTTATATAATTTACGAATAGTTTTAAATTCTATAAGTAACAACGAGGTTCTAATATACTTAATAACTTATTAACTAATAATATTAATTAACTATACTACTATTTATAGTTAATAAAAAGAGTTTAGCTAATATAAAAATACGCTAAGTCACCCTATTATAGAGTTCATTTTAACTTTATAACATTAGTACGTATACTATATTAAAATAATATATATAATTAAATATTTCTACTTAATCAACTATATATTTAACATAACTAGGGCATACTACTAACATTCGAGTAGCGAGGTACACTATACCCAGGCGACACATAATCTTCCACCTCTGCTATACACCCCCCCCCTCCCGGGTAGGTAGGTACCAGGGTACGAAGCCAAACTAGCGGGGAGAGAAGGAGACCCCCGGTTTGCAGTAACTACCTACTCTGTGTACTGTGTAAAGTGAGGCCCTGACTGAGCGTAGCTCCTGCGACTTTTGGCTGCTTGGAGCCTTGGATGGAAGGAAGCAGCAGCTGAGCTTGCTGCTCGTGGAGTTGGGTCCGGTGTTGGTCGCTGCCCACCTGCTGAACAGCGCATGCGTCGGGTGGGCCATGACGACACCACCGAGCCACTGCCGGGATCCACATGACGGTGCAGAATATCAGACGGACTGTAGATACGTACGTGATTCTGCACGTTAAGCATACAGTTGATAGTCCGTCGCACACGGTGAACCCGTAGTCAACCGAGATCTTGCTGGGCAACAGCGCTGGACCGTCCCCCCTAGCGCCTGGTTCTCCTGAGCCACTGTGATTCGTCGCGCACGCCAGTCACCGACTGCCAGCGCAGGGACCTTCCTCGGCCCAGCCCCCACCCTGCCACGACGTCATCCAACATCCTTTTCCAGCTCTTCTCCCCCCTGGCTTTTCTCTTTTCGCACCGGGCCAACCACATCCTTCGTCACGATTCAGTTCCTCGCACTCTGACCCCTCGCTGGCTGCTTGCATCTCCAAGGCTCCAAGGCTCCATCGTCTCCTTCGGTCGTGATCGTCAACACGCTAATCTTCTTCAGGCTCCGAACAAGGCTGCCAATCTTCCGCTCGGATGCTTCATCGAAATAAGGCCTGGGACTGTCAACTTGCATCTCAGTATTCTGTGCTCCGTACGGATATCCTTACAGGATCCTCCTAGGTTCTGTTTCGGTTCGGATGAAAAGCACATGGCTGCGGCTTCTTCGTCTGGTGCTTCGGCCAAGCGTTTGCTGAACTCCCACCCATCCGATGAAAACCTCACATGCGGCATGCCAAAGCGGATGGCTGGACCCGAACAATTGCTCACCCTTTTACTGAAAACACTAATACCTATTCTGTCGTCAACACCATGGGACGAGATGCCGGACGTTGTTTCTCGAGTTGAGTGGCTCGTCTTCTCCGACTGCTAGATGCAGGGTCTTTGTGCGTCCAGTAGCACTCTGCATGCCAAGGCAGACCGAACACCTTGCTTCCGCCATCCTCGACCAACTTTCCGAGAATTGCGCGTCTGGCGCAGCCCACAGAGTGTCCAACGTGTGAGAGGTGGTCTGCATCTTGACATTTGAACTACTACCAACCCACCTGTCTTCGCGGGAATCGATGGCATCATATCGGGATTGCTCTGTTGTCTTTGATATCTTGCGCGGCCTGGACCAAGGCGATGTGTCCTACTGTGGCTCAGATGCCGTGCTGCAAATATTCCACCCTCCAGCTTGCATACAGAGAGGCTTAGCTTGGGTGCTCTCGCGTCACCCGCCGGATGGGACGGGAACTCTGACTTCTCCTTCGCAGCTTGACAGACGCACTGCTTACTTCGACTTCGGTTTCGATTCTCCTCGCTATTGGGCCCCAACTTAGAAGACCTCTCGTTTCGAAGTCCCTTCGTAACTGACAAATAAGAAACACCTGGCTTGTCCGCCATGCTCTCGAGACCATCGGCGCCAGATCGACTCGGTGCATCCGGTAACCCCACTTGGTCGTACGCCGGCGTCGGCTCAGCACACTACCAGACTTCGAGCTCCATACGAAACATCTTGTCAGCTTGACAAGGCATCTCAATGTCATCATCATGAAGTGCTGGGTGACGGTATCATAGCTGGAAGAAAGCGAACCTGGCCCAGCTGGGTTTTAATGTGTGGGCTAGAGCTCGATGGACAAAAGACATCATGCTTCCCAAGGAAAGGGCAAGCCGTCATTAGGAGGGCATTGAGTTATGGAAAAGCGCACAAGTGTCTCACCATCTCAAGGAAGTTACGGCATCGTGTCTTGGATGTCCAATGGCACGCACATGCAGCGCGGACACGAGCTGACAAGAGCTACCTGTCTTATACAGATGACACAATGACGAGTCGTAACCGACTCGCAATGAAGCCACAACATACCGAGGGACCTTGAGGCAATCGTGAAAGCACTCCCGTTCTAGCACGACAAAGAGCCGCAGGAGCGTACCGATGAGCTGAATGAATTTGACGACGTGACAGTTGGTGTGAGGCGACCCGCGCAGACAGAGGCCACACCTTATCGATAACGATTGCTCAGAAAACGACTTGTATGCCGTGACAGACCGGGGATTCTGAAGGATCATGAACCCTACGCCCATCTCACGGTGCCTATGACGGAAGGTGGCTCGTGCGTTTGCCGATAACCTAACTCTATCGATAAGATACGTACCGATGACAGTTCCAGCCGGCTCGTTCCGCTAAACTTTGTTCAAGCTCCGGGCAGCTTGCGTATGACTTCACCTCAGCCACAATCTTCGTCGACAAACTCCGTTCAAGTCCACAGCAACCTCCGACAACACGCGAGCCGATGGGGACCCTTCGAACCGCATACCGGATTTCTACATTTTCAACTCCAACCCTGACACGCTCAGCGAATCAGATACCTGGTATCATCTTGCGACAGGCAAGATGGAGCTCCTCAACGCCAATCTCGAAGTTGGTCTTCCCTGAGGACGACGGCGCCGAACCGAGCGAATTGCGACACCTTCACCTCGACGGTTCTGATTCGAAACATTATCCATCGTACGATTCGGCTTCAAATTTTCAAACTGCCTTACGTCAGGTCTTCCTCGACTGGAAGTCGGCGCCGAACTCCCGCGCTCCGTCGCCGCTCGTCCTATCTTTCACTCCGGCACCAACGTATACGCTTGGCCGCCGCCAAAAGACCTTACTACCCGAGCAGCTGGAACGACTTCAACAGCCTTTGACTGTCATCGAAGAGATGAAGGTCGCGGCAGAGAAGCAAAATGGCGGAACAAGTTCAGGAGAGCAGCAATTCACGCCCGAAGTCATTGAGACAGATCGCGGCGGATTGACAACATATCATGGACCTGGGCAGGTCGTCCTGTGGCCGATACTGGATCTGCACAGCAAATACTATCCCCGCCTGACCGTCCGATCCTACGCGCGACTTCTAGAGGAGACCACACAAGCGATCCTCGCCGATGGACCTGGGGTCCAGACGTACCTCTCCGAGGACGATCCGGGAGTTTGGGCCGAGGCCGCAAGGCAGCGAACAGGAGGGCAGGAGCGCAAGATTGCCGCCATGGGTGTTCACCTTCGCCGTCATATCTCTGGGCTCGGCACGGCGCTTAACGTGGACGTTGCCGTCGACGGCGACGAGGCATTCAATCCTTGGGCGAGGTTCGTGCCGTGCGGACTCGAAGGTAAAACCGCCACCAGTGTCAGAGCCGAACTCGGCGAGGATTCCTGGAGGCAGTTGAGTCTTGCTGGCGATGGCAAGACGAAGAGAGAATGGTATGCTCGCCGGTGGGCCGAGGAGCTTGCAAAGCGCCTCGGAGTCGGCATTGCGCCGACGACAGTGCATCAACGACTTGGATGACCGTATCCTCAATACTTGCCTCAATTGGCCAACTTGCCATCTGTTTATGAGTGGCGCCCCGGTACTGGCCCATGTAAAGACGACGGTCAGAAGCAAGAATGCTGGTGACCGGAGTGCATCACGGGTTACACAACGTGTGGCTTGCCCGCCTCTTTTCCTCTGCTCGTCAGCCATCAAATTCTGAGCCCCTCTTTTGGATGTCGGGGCAGCCAGCATTTGACCGGACCGTTCGCTATGAACGGTACCTGTTGAAGAGAGACGCGCATTCCGTGGTCGGTCCGGGTCAGCATATCCTTTCGCACTCTCTTCTTATTCCCGGAAGAGCCAGAACGTAGGGTATCAAATTCCGGCTCGCTGGGAGCCTGATTATTTCCGGTGCGGCGGGGGCGAGGATACCTCACCGGACATTGTCGATTATGATACCCCCATCTGCATCAGCAAACACCTTTTTTTTTTTATATCTTGGCATATCAGATCCCAGCCTGCCAAGCCAGGACGACCTCTTGGTCTTGCGTGGCGAAGCATCTTCATCACCTCTGCAGACCGGAGGGGCAAAGCAAGGTAGGTATGTCGGCATTACATATCACGAATACGATATCTCACTGCCATTGAGTCTCTGCAACCAGCTACTGGTTGTAGATTACCATGTCGATATCACGCTTATCGAGAGCCTTGGCAGCTCGCACTTTGTCAAGCTGCCACGCATATCTTCCCGTAACGTTTGCTCCGGAGCATACCGGGGACGGACGGGGGCGTGGTGGCATGGCTGAACCCCATAGGATGATGTTTTTTCTTCCACAAGAGCGCCATCCAAGCGGGACCCCCCCCAGCCGTCAAAGGTTTGCAGGTAGTTGGGCGTAGATAGACATGGATGGAGAGCGAGAGCCAGTACAGATACTCATTTCTAACCAGGTAGATGACATCCAACTCCGATTTTCACTCTTTGCGGGATTTCTACCGCCGCATTCTCTCTCTCTCCAATCTGTTTCTCTCTTAGCAATCGAATAATGCAATGCAATGCCCACCCGTCCCCATGCTCCGGGCAAAGTCCATGATATGCCGCGCCAAGCCCCACCACCCGTGGGACCTCAAGCTCACACCTCACATCTCACCCCGTTGACGCCTTCACGCCATCCATGTCAGAAAAAAAAAAGAGGTCAAGAGTTTGAACGGGGCGTTCGTCGCATGCTTGATGTCAGGGGTGCCAGGTGGCAACCTTTCTTTAGCCGCAGACGCAGACGCAGACGCCGACGTGTGTGAGATCCTGGATAGCCCACATGTGCAGTACATACATAGTTCTTGTACACACCCACAACAATTAATCATCTTGGAACGACGTTGCAGATGTATCCCCATAGACGGGGCAAGGGGAAGGGGGGGGGGGGCGGCGGCAAAAGATCGACCATCACGTTTCCATGTCAAGCCCGTTTTCGCGGCAGGCAAAGATTCTACTTTCTTTGTAAGCTCGCCGCACCAACGATACAGGAGTCCAATATCTACTCAAAACGACCATAAGGGGCAGAGGACTTTTGCGCACTAGAGAGTACTATTAATTATCAACGCCGATGCTATGATGAGTATCAACCCGAGGAGCGAACCCTCCCGCCAAACAAAGCCGTGAAGAAGATGAAGCCCTCCATCATAAAATCATGATGCCTTTCCCATCTGCGTAGAGCAAAACACTAAAATCACAATGAGCCAAATCAAGGCATATTTTAATTCTCCCACAATGCGGGCCCCCAGAGACCGCCAAAAGAAAGAAGTAACACCGCCTTGTTCCCCCGCCCCCCTCCATTACACTCCTGGAAATCGCAGTGGCGGTCTGCCCCCTGATGCTCATGGACCATGGCGAAAGTCCAACTTATCACTGGCGAAATGGCTGATGGTACAGTGGTCCCATCGTTTGTGTGATTGCCTTGCCTAGTGATCCGACCTGACCCTTCCCTTCTTCTTGGGCGCCGGCAGCCGCTCGTGGTGGCCATCATCGTCCGGAGTCCACTCCTCGGGATGAAAGTGAGGATTATTATAGTGTGCCTTGTTGAAATGGCTGTTCTTGAACATTGCGGTAGTAAAGCTGGGTTCATGGAAGCCGGCTTGGCCGGGTATCACTGACGGTTGCGCCGAGCTGGTGTTGTTGAGATGCCAGCACTGGTGACTAAATCTGAGCTGGTAGTCAACCGGTTGCGACGGCTTCGTAGGGGCAGGCGTCGATTGTTGTGGTCGAGCTGGCGTTTGAGGCTGCGGTCGAGGGGCTGGTGCCGTCTGCTGCTGCTGCTGCTGCTGCTGAATGTGATGATCAGAGTACGGCGTCGCGAGCCAAGGAGATTGAGGTGAAGGGTCATAGGCGTCTGGAAGCGGAGATGTGGATGTGGGCGAGCCGAGCGAAGACAGAGCGGAAGACAAGCCCGAGGGCGGGCCCCCGAATCCGGGCAGCATGGCCAGGGGGCCGTAGTCGAGAGAATAGCTGTGCAAAGGAGGACCCACGCTCGCAATCTCTTGAGAATGAGAAAAGGAACCAACGCGGTGAACCTGAAGATTCAAGGGTGGCGGATTCGGAGGCGACTTGTATAGAATGTCGTAGTGATCGGGCCGGTAGAGCAAGTAGATGATGGGGCCCAGAGTGGCAGGGTCTTGACCATTGGCCTCGTCCGGAAAGCGGTAAATGTTGACTTGGTTTCCTGGGCTACGATCCAGATACGCAATCTCCAGCACGAAGTTGATGGGTTTTAGCAGCACCTGAACGAGCAGAATGATGCCGAGATGGTCAATCTCTCTGTTTGGGCGTTCGATTTCGGCGCAATAGCCGATGATACCCGTCTCGGCGGGAATGAAGGGTTCGTAGAGCTCAACATTTCCCTTGAGCCATGAGAGCGCCAACAAGCGAAGGTGGTAGATGATGGCGTTGGAGGAGCCCTGGTCGTTGAAGCGCTGGACCATGATGTCCATGGCTAGCTGTGGGTTGGCAATATTCTGGGCGACATCTTTTAACAAGCCAATCGTCTCTTCCACCATGTCCTCAAACAACATCCGATCGTAGCCGCCAACGTTGAGGAGATACTGATTTAAGCTCGTGATGCGCGCGGCCTCGCCGAGGATCTGATGCTGGTCGCCATTGTTGATGAGATGCTCAAAGTAGGAGAAGCCGATTGCTAGAGAGAGATGGTGTTAGTTACAACATGCTTTGAGTGCTGAAGTGAAGCAGTGTTCCCCCTTCCAAGCAACGGACATGTGCGCCGACATGAGTCGAGGTGAAGAGTGGCGTGCTTGAAAAGAAGTGATTTCCCAGGAACCTTCCACCCTGTCGAGGGGCGGGGATGCGGGGTAGAAGGAAATATTGGTGGTGGTGATGGTGGTCAGGATCGTGAAAGGTAAACTCACCTCGCCAGCCGCAATTTCCGTCACCTTGAACAGGGCGATAGTGAGAATATGTCTGGGGAAGGTTCTGAAGTGGGTAAAACGAGCAGAATCACTACGTTAGCCAGTGCAATATACTGCGCGGAGTATGCATCCCCTGGGCAAGGAATGCTGGAATGGGACTCACGATGGTCTTTGCGATATAGATTTCGTCAGCCTTGGCGTACTCGTCGGTTATGGCGTCGCTGGTAATCTTGTCGCCCACCAATAAACCCTAGAAAAGGGCGTAAGCCGTGTTAGCGTTGCACGTGGCAGGGTGTGTATGACGAGTAAGGATTCGGGTTCGATGGGAGCTTTGGACGTGGAGGAAACATGGAATTCAATGGTATTGGATTCAATAGCATTGGATTCAAAGAGGATTGTGAGATTCTTGTGGGTTGAGGGCGAGAAAAGAGAGAGGACGAGCACGAGCACGAGCAGTCGAAGCTTGGGGGTTCGGCGACGGGAGCTAGGCGTGCGTCTCCCGGAGTCGGGGTGGCGAGCCAACTCACCTCGAGCTGTGGCTGATAATCCCGAGCGGCGGCTTCTTGGGCGGCAACGTCGGAGGGGTCGCCGGGTTCCATGGCGCAAGGACGACGAGTGCTGCTCACGGCGTGGGCTGGAGCGTGGGCGTGATCAGGAGCGAGGGCGGCGGCGGTGCTTGTGAAGCCTGGGTTGGCGTTGGAGTTGGTGGTGTAAAAGGTAGAAGAAGAGGATGTTGTCGAAGAAGAGGCGCCGGGGTGAGGATGAGGAGGAGGAGGGTGTTGTTGCTTCTGGAGGTGTCCGTGGAGGAGGTTGTGGTTGGAGTAAAGGTTGGCGTGGGAGTATCCGTAGGACGAATGGGAGTGGGAGTGGGAATGGGGGTGGGAGGAGCGGGAGAGGGAGCGGGAGGAGGAGGAGGAGCAGGAGGAAGAAGACGCGGAGGAGGATGAGGCAGGAGCAGAAGCAGCGCCGGGGCTGTTATGGTGGTTGTTAAGGTGCAAGTGGGCAGCAGAAGTAGCAGCCGAAGCCACGGCGGAAACGCCAGAGACAACGTTGGCGTTGGTGGTGGTGGTTGAAGTGGTGGTTGGAGGAAGTAGTAGTGAAGGAGGAGGAGTGGAGGCAGATGAAGGAGACTGAGACTGAGACTGTTGCTGCCGTTGCTGCTGTTGCTGTTGCTGTTGCTGCTGCTGCTGATGATGATGTGCAAGTGCAGCAACCTGACTCTGAACAGGAACAGGAACCTGAACCTGAACTGCGCGCGATGCGGGAGTGGTGCCGGTGCTGGTGCTGGTGCTGGTGCTGGTGACAGCTGGAGCCCGGCCGGCGACCGGGCCGGGGCCAACCATAGGCGCTGTAGCCGCTAGTAGTGTTGTCGCCAACGGCCCTCCAACTGCTCCTGCTGTTGCTGCTGATGAGACTAGCTGTCTTTGCTGCTGCTGTTGCCGCCCAGGATACTGTTGTTGTTGGCGCTGTTGGTATTGATGCTGCTGCTGCTGCTGTTGTGCTGCTCCTGTCATTAGCGAGGTTCCAGGTCCGGCCGGCGACGACGCAGCATTCAGGCTGTGTGTGCCTGCAGCTTCCCCGCCCATCCCCATAACACCAGATAGCGACTGTGACAGTGATTGCGACCGCGGCTGCGACTGCGCCGACAGGGACAGCCCACTGTGGCCCAGGCCCATACCCATGCCGTTCAAGTTGCCCATGCCCATGCCCATCTGTCCCATGCCCATCCCCATCCCCAGCCCTAGCCTGCCGCCGCCGCCACCATCACCACCATCACCACCACCACCGCCGCCCATCACCAGGGGGTTACCCATGCTGTCCAGTCCCACCGACGATGCACCCGACGATGAACCCACTCCAGCTCCAGCTCCAGCTCCCATGCCAGCTCCAACAGCTCCAGCTTGGCCATGACCTCGACCTAGACCATGTCCATGGCCTCGACCACCAGAACGAGAAATAGCATCAGAATCAGAGCCAGAGCCAGAAATAGGGCCGCTTCCTGATCCCCTCTCTTCTCTCGCTGACGACAAGTAGCCGTAATGTGAGCCCGCCATTCCTGTATCAATGCCGGCGTCGTGAGATGCACCTCCTCCGACACCATCGCCCGCCATACCCATCCTCATCCTCATCTCCACTCTTCCTACCCCTCTTCCTCTTGCTCCTCCTCCGCCTTCTTCGTTCCTCATCATCATTTCTCCTAACCCTGCTGCCCCTGTGCTGATGCTATAGCCTCCGCTGTTCTGAGGCCGGTGATCCTGCGGCGAGCCGCTCTGGCTTTGCATGTACGTTTGACCATGACCGTGGGGATGAGGGTGAGAGTATGGGTTGTGTGCCGAGGCGTGAAACGCAAAAGGCGTTGGTTGAGGCTGGAACATGGCCTCGCTTGCGCTCTCGCTCCTTATGCCCTGCACTTTGGCGTCTGATTTTGCCGACTCGAGGGTCTCAACAAGGCTGATTTTTTTTTTGTTTGTCTTGTGTCTCTCTTGACTGTCGTTCCAAGACCCAGCCAAGATACCTGATGTGATGCGCTGCGCGCTGCGGTGCGGTTCGGTGCGATGCAGCAGCTGTGGGCGCTGTGGGCGCTACCGGCTATATTGCTGCTATTGATGCCGCTATTGCTGACGACTCATGCAGTAAGTCTTATGCCGCGTCTCCGGTCCTGAGTCGGTCTGAGGTGATTGGCACAAGGGGACGACGGCCAGAGACTGTGGAAGCAAAGGAAAAAGAAAGGAAAACGGGATGATCGCTGAAACGACGAGAGAAAAGGGAGGGAAGGGGATGACTGAAAAACGGGCGAGGCGAGTGTGAGTTGAGTCGCGTCCAGTCGAGTCTGAGTCGGGGGAGTCGGACGATGTGACGGGTGCGATCCAACGAGCCAGACAGCAATCAGTCCAATCTGCTCTCCAGAAGGAACTCTTACAAGATTCCAACGACGGGGTAAGGAAAGCTCACGGCAATTAACAAGTAGAAGGACGGGCCGCCCCTCTAATTTACCGTACCACGCAGAGATACAGTCGAAACAATTCCCAGGCCGAGCCAGACAGGTTCGTAGGTAGGTATTCGGCTTCTCTGTTTCTTCCTTGCTCTGTCTCTGAAAGTGTGTGTGTGTGTGTGTGTCTCCTCCTCTAGATCGGGTCGGGGATCAGGTCAGGTCAGCTCAAAAGCAACCCGACTAGTACATTCCCTCCCCCCCAATAGTGAGCCGCTTGTATGCAGCTTGGCTTGAGATGACGAATAGAAAGGCCCGCAACAGGGGTGATAGTAGTGCAGAAATTCGATGGCCGTCCGAGGGGCTAAAAAGGAACAATAATGTGACCTATGGTTTTCCGGGGTGCGTCTGGCTGGCCTTGTGCTTTCCGTCTGCGCGGCCTTGGACGTTGACGTTCCTTTGGTGTGAATCCTCGTTGCGACAGTCGCGAGAGCAAGCCAGCTTGTGCGATCGACTCTGGGGTCCGGGCTTCGCTTGTGGAGGTGGTCCGATGCTAACACTCTCACTGCCTTAGACTAATAGGAAGTACTCCGTATGTGCCTGTCACTGCCTGCGGCAAAGACTGTTATTGCCAAAATGTCTTGGTGGTTTGTAGCCTAGTCTGACCTCCTGTCTGGATTTGGCAATTGGCGTATGTGGTGGTGCTCATTGCCGTGCTGAATACAGCTCGAATGGGTGTCCTGGACCGACTGGATCTGGGTTTTGGTTCTTGATTCCGGCCTCTCGGCGAGCCGAGCTGAGGTGCCTCCGACGAATGGCGGATGACAGAGGATGTGGAGGAATTCGATGTGATGTGATGTGAGTGTGCAGTGCCGTGCCGCAGCTGGAGATCGGAGAGTAAGGTAGGTACAGGTAGGTACAGGTAGGGTAGGGCAGTCGAGCCCGGTATCGCGGTTGTACTGCCTGCTTGCTGACGATGGCTTGGTGGCTGGGTAGGTGAGGGTCTACCTACCTGGCTGCGGTCAAGTTGACACGATGGGTGATAGATGGCTAGCAGCTGGTTAGGGGACAGAGTAGGTATGCTGGTCTGTCAACCTTCTCCAATGGCAATTCGCAGAAAAAGGGAGAGCAAGGTGAAAGGCGAGAGGCGAGTTTCCCAGGAAGAGAAAAAAAAAGATGGAAGATGAAAGAAGAAGGGAGGAGAGCAGGTGTAAGTACTAGGAGAATGGACGGGAGAAAACATAGGGGCGAATGATGATAATCAGAGTTCCGAGCCTGTCAACTTGTGTTGCGTCCACACGCGTCGGCAAGGTGGATGAGGCCCGGCAGACAAAAAGACAGGCAGCGTATCCGTATCGTATCTTGCTCTGGGATCAAAGTAGGTAGGTAACCATGGTTGCACCAAGAACAGGCGATGGGAGCTAGCATGACACAAGACTGGAGTAACGGCACAAGCAGCCGCATGTGCAGGTGCAACAACGTCGGCAACGGCATTGAGACAGGGATGTTCAAGGGAAACAACAATATCAGGACCGCGACAAGACGAAGAGGAACTGGACGGCATCATCCGGCGCTGGAGTTGGAGCAAGGCGAAAGTACCTTGCCGTCCATGACTGAGTACTCATCCGTGGAGGTAAGGTAGGTACTTGGGCCGAGAGAGTTGCAAACTCCATGTAAGAAACATCAGGTATCCGTACAGATACATGCATCCCATGTAAGGCAAGGGAAGCCAGGGGATAGAAATGGGCCATGGCAGAGCATTTGGAGATGGACGGATAGAGAAAGAAAGAAGAAAGAAGGGGCAAAGTACCCGTAGCCGTACGGTACTGTACGTAGTACATACCGTAGCCTTCAAACTCAACGAGGCTTCATTGTGTGATGCAGTGGGCAAGTACTGAATATGGGGTGCCGTGCCTCACAATGGTTGGCTGGTGTTCTGATACAAGTCTGCATAGTCCGGTAAGTACTCGTACTATGTATGACATGACATGACATGGTATCCGTAGCGTGCTGTGTGGGTGGTTGTGAACTTGTGATCCCGATGGTGGGATATCCAGAGACCAAGCAGAGCATCGCGCTCAGCAAACCGCCCGTGATGGCAGTGACGAGATATGAGACTGGGCAAGGGGGGGGGGGGGCATAGGCATCCAGGAATACATACGGATAGACATGGGATGGGAACGTTGTCAACGGGGATGACGGGGAAAACGGGGACGGGAATGGATACGGACGTCCAGTGTACATAATTGCTAATTGAGGTCCAGCCTGTGGATGGTGAGTTGTGAGGGCGCATTGCGAGCGACGACAATTGAGAGGGGGAAAACGCACCCCCTGGCCCATGTCTTTTTCCTTCTACTGCGGTATATCGCAATGTCAGGTACCTCTTTTTGGTACCCACAGATGAATCGTCGGCCCCGAACAGCCAAGAGTGTGCGGATTTCGCCAAAATGGCACAGCAAGAGAAGACTGAGAAGACGAGGGTTGCGGATAGGTCGAGAAGTTGTGTGCATCGTCGGATAGGTACCGTTTCGAACAGATGACAAGGCTCGAGGGTCGTCGGGTCAAGGATAGGCCGCAGAACAAGAGAGAGGGAAGAGACAAAGGAAAAGTCGGACGAGATACAGAGACAAGAGCGCGAGCCCAACGATCCTGGTCTGCAGTCGGCCCTAGGCGTGCTTCCTAGAGTCCTGGATTCCTGGTCGTCAAAGGCAGACTGCGGCGGTCTGGCCAGGTCGGCGCCAGGTTTCCCCTAAATCGTGGACGTCGATTGGCCATCTCAATCTGTTGGACTGGTCGACAATCCCTCAGTTGACGGTCGGTGGGTTCTCCGTCTGCTATGGATTGGTCGCGGGCAGAGGTACAACATGGGAAGTCGATAGGTAATGGATAGGGTGCCGCGGGTGTGCCGTCGTAAAGTAGGTCAACGATGCCATGGCAATATTGCGTACCCGCACGAGGGGCCACGGGAGCGGCATGTCTTTCAAAACCTGGGAAATTTAGTTTGGGAATGTCCTGGATGAGGTGATACGTACCTTGCTCTTTGTGCAGATTCGAACACACACGGGATGCCTAGTGTCCGATGTAAGATATGAAGCAGCATCTTTCTGATACCTTGAGGCAAGGAATCTTGGAAAGCAGCACAGACTGAACGTCAATCGAAGGACCTGGAGATGCGTAATTGAGATGGAGATGAAGGTTCTCTGAAGTTCTCTGGGAAAACCTGCCCCCAAGAGCAGAGCCAAGGTGCTGCTTACCTCTTCTTGAGGTTCCTTGAGGTACCTAGATTGGGGAGGAACCTGGGACCAGGATCGGATGTTCTTTCCTCTTTACTTTGCGGTTTCTCAGCACGCGGCAGGTCCGCCCCGTGACGTTACTGAAGATGATATCAAAGAAGCAAGAACAACCTCAGCCTCAAGCTGCCGTGGTGACGAACCTGCCTCACTTTACCTAAAGGTATGGAAGGCACTTTGGGTACCTTGGAGACAGGAGGAAGATACGGATAACCCGAGGTACCTACCTCTATTTGCCTTAAGGTAAGGTAGATAGGCTTGTCGCTTTGAGACTCCTCATCTTTTCTCTTTCTCTTTCTCTCTTCCTTCGTCTCCGTCTTCGACGTCGTCTCTGTGTCTCCTTTGGGTATCTGCACCTCGCGTTCCTCTGAATATTGCGCGCGAACACTATTTGAGTTCCACCTTATCTTCCATGTGGATGACTCGTTTCTTATTTCCACCAAGTACAAACAGTCGTGCCTGGTCGCCATTTGCACACACGCACATACAATCAATGCCTCTGCAAAGCCAAGGTAATTACCATGTGCTTCCTTACATACAAAGTAGTCTGCTCACGAGGTGCCCACGACCTATACAGCCTGAGCAACATCAACACGAATCCTTCCCAGCGCCCGACCTCTATGTCTTGCGCAGGAGACATATTGACCTTTAACGAGCGAACACACACCTGCCTCATGGACATTGCGAGCCTGCGAATCTGCGAGCCCGTTGGAGAAGCAAGAAGATCAAAAAGACGCCGACATACAAACAAGGGTGGCATTCTAGGGGAAGAGGGTACCGGGGATAGGCCCTGTCCTTCACCGTTCCCACTAGCAAGGGACAAGGTTGACTGGGGTTTCCACTGCGAGCCCGCCCATCCTCCCCTCATCGTGCCCATCCCACAGACATTCAACAGGGACTGGACCAAGCCTCGACGTTGATGGGCTGCGGGCATTCTAGGACAGGGTTCCAGGTTGGCACAAGCATTTCCCATCAGCATGCCGCACTGCATCACCAGCATCCAGCGGGCCAGACGAGACCACTCAAAGGGCCGTGGCACCCCTCGATGGCTCCTTAGCGCCATCATATGGGAGGTAAGACTAAGATGCGATGGCCTCCACAAGCCCCCGAACGAGGTGACAAGCTATCCATACCAGGTACGTCCAAACACAACCATCGTGAACAGAAGCTCATGTACCTCGTAGTATGTATGTAATATGGTCCAGACACATGCCTGTGGTGCGATCCGACCTGATCCATCGTGCCTCCGCCCAACAAGTATCGTGGCTTCCGTTCACAAAGGTACAGCGTCTCTCACGATAGCCACACGCGCCGAACATGCCATCGCCTTCGACCATGACATGGATGTCAATCAACTGTATGGGCGACTATGTGGATCATTGGCAGCCAAAGGTCCAAGAAGCGCGACTCCTGGGGAAGATGGTGACTGAACAAGAGCGTATCCCAATGCTGCCACGATGAAAACAGCATGTCCCACCGCCTCGCTTCTTCTCTCGCTGGCCCTTTTGTTCGGTTACCTCCAGCATGAGATCCTTAGCATAGGCACACACGCACATCACAGGCTGGAAGGAGAACTGGGCTCACGGCCAACGAGCCGCAAGGGAAAGCGGGACGACCACCACAAGGAGCGTCAGCATTGTGGGCTAACGACATTCCAACACATGCCTCGTGGCGTCAGAGACAAATCGCCGTGCTGGGTCTTTCCTTTTTCTGCTGTTGTTTCCGAGGGCCGCCGCTGTCCGTCGATTGGCCATCACCTCAGCATCTTGACCGCTCAGAGTCTAAAAGTAATATCCCCAACAACTCAAAGTCCTACCAATGGTGTCGTTTTGAAGCTTACGTGCTATCTTAACAGCACTGAAGTTCCCACGAGACTGGCTTACACTATCCGTAAAGTAAGCTACAAATCTAGCCCGCCACACCCCACCACACTTTGCCTTGCAGGGACTAAGCCAGTCACTGGCTGACGGCCGATGGCGGCCGCTGCCGAGCACACTTTAGCTGCGACGGTGTGCTCGGCTGCTGCACTACGGACAAACGTTTTCCACGGGCAACTTTGACATCATGTTGAGCTAGCCCTCTCCGCGGACGGATCATCACCTAAGGCTGGTGGACATTCAATGACACGTTCCGTGAGCACCACGCTGGATCATGCTTCGGGTGTAGTCTTGCATCGCATTGACCATAGGTTGAAAACGCCTCGCAATATTACACACACCATTGTGAGATCTACATCTAAGGTAGTGCCTGACCTGCAGCTCAGCTTTTGCGAGGATCTTACGAAGTAGAATGACTCGACCGCCGTCTTGTAGCGATGGTCGGGACGCCCAAATCCAAACTCTTCAACTTAAAGCAAGAGACACGAATCATTCTGACAACAAAATGGAGTGTAGACCTTGAGTCGAGTTCACTGGCAGTTGATGAAACCCCTGGCTACCAGGACCGAGAGATCCGTCTGGGCACTGTGTATCTGCCCGGTTTCCAAGACTCCCGTGTCAGAAATGGATGCCGTGATATCGAATTTTTCCTGTTCCATGGCAAATCATCTCCACCGACTCCATGGTGGTGCAGGGAGACGACATCTCACGCTGTCGATCACTTACCTCACCACATCGGCCGACCACACATGCCGCCCATGGCCCGCTTGTCAGAACGGCCGAAATAAGAGACTATTAAGTAGCTCCGACTGCGTACTTTGGCCCCAACCAACTGCAAATGTCTTACACTTCCCCTTGCGGGAGACGCTGCCGTGAATATCCCGCCTTTCGCCAACCTGTCGAAAACTAAGACAATGTCGTAGATATGGGATTTCGTCGCACCTGCGTTGCGCACCGTCTTCCACCCTGAGACTCTGGGGGTGATTGATTTCCAAAGCAGCCTCGCGACCAATTTGACCTTGTGAGCAACGCCTAGTGTCTGGCGCCAGGGGCCAATGTTCTTGCCGAAACCGACTCAACAATAATCGTAATGTGGTGATGGAAGGTACTTTGTTGCGCAAATTTGAGCTTGGGACAAGGCGAACGAGCGGCGCAGCCGACGCCAAGGGTCACCGAATAGTTGGGATCCGTGACACATCGGGATGAATGGCTTTCGATTCGACAAATCAATCGCCAAACACGCTTACTCGTTTCGCAGGCATCTGTCAAGAAGTATGTTGGTCACTGATCATGATCCAACAAAGCCAGACGACCACGATATGTCCATTCACCTTCCATGCAGCTAAGATTGGTTGGTGGAGCTTCTGGACGGCCTGTTCCGCACGCGACCTGGACTTGGAGAATGCGGTTTGTCTAGGGGAAAGCAAACTCGACAATGTCAACTTTGCAAATTCGGTCTTGTGGCAACATGGAGCGTGGGGACACCTAGGGATCTACATACCCCGTTTCCCGGTGGGCGCAATCTTGAATCAGTGGCTCACGTCGAGGATCATTTCTCATTCACCCAAACGAGTTCAATATCCTCTGCTTCCGAAAAACATTGATATTGGAACAGATCGCAACATATTCCGATATGGGACAGACTAGACTTGAAATGCACGTCCCGAGTAAAGCAAGAAACTCTCTGAGCCTCCTGAGATTTATTCTGTCAAGACGAGTCGGTTCTGAGAAGCCAAAAAATCGCAAGGAATTGGCACGCGACAAAGGACCCTTACCGACCTTTGCAGATTGCTTGAACCAGTCTCTTCTTTTTCTCTTGCTCCATTAAGCTCATTGTACCAAATGGGCCAGGCACACCAGTCTCGTACCAGGCAGAGCAAGGCAGAGGCGGCCATGGAGATCCGATACATCTTCTCATATGTCTTGCGTTTGGAAACAGAGTAAGAATCTCGTTCGCTCTGCACGGCTTTCTGCAGGGTTCTCCACATAACATAGGGAAGAGGTAAAGAAAGAATGGGCGATAAACAGCGTCGGCAGGCAAGACAACAGATGAGAGCCTCCCAGATGGGAGGAAACAATTTGATCCCGGCTTTTGGAGTACCAACAAAAGAGCCGGTTCCAGCACCTTCTCGGCAGGAGGAGGAGGAGCATGGGTGAATAACTGGCAGCGCTCCTTACGGACTTTTCAAGAGAGACTGGTTGCACTCTGGCACTCTGCAGACTAGACCAAGATAACAACGTTGCTGCCCCAAGCCCTATGCCCCTAGTATTCCTCTGACGCTATCGCAGATTCGTCTTAGTCTGTATGGTTGAGGAAATAGGAGACTACGAATAGCACAGCATCTTGACCGGGCCTCGTCCACTGCTCGATCATCGGCAGAAAGTCAAGGGCATGTGAAGAAGATGTGGATCGATTGCAAGATGAAGGGGAATCGTCTAGGCCGGGCACTGCGGTATCCGATGCCACCAACAACACTCCGTGAAAGACGATGTTTGGGATGTCTCCTTTTCCAAAGGAGGCCCATTCGGAGCTCTGAGTCTGGAGACATTAGCTGGGCCGCCGAGCATATCGTGAGCGAGCTATGCCAACAACGTTCAATCGCCAGCAACGTCGCATCGGCTACGTTTCCGCCCACTTAGACCCCGTCCCGTCCCACGTTCGCTCCGTCCCGTCTCCACAGGCGCGAAGAATGACAGATGCATTACAAGTCTTCTACGGAGTCCTTCGGACCTGATCCTGAGCAGTGGGAGATACAAATGAATGGTTGATGGCGTCAGCACTGAGGCAGTATGGCTACTCCGTATATCCGCTATCTCTGCGGTCTTCCTCTTGGTCACCTTGAATACTCCCAGTCTCGGGAGCTTGCCATGCAGATACGCAGCTGGGACTGCACGAAATACTCCTCTGCCCTTTCCCGACAAAGGGCCTCCAAAATAACCACCGGCCTTGGCGATATGACAGCTCATCCTTCAGAAAATTCTGACCCCTGCGTGCGCATGTAGAGGATGATCGCTTGTTCAATGGTAGACGGAGCCCGCTATTATCGCCTCATCCTTTGATCAAGGTCCACGACCGAGCCAACGTCAAAATTGACATCTCATCGATGTGGACATATGCCTTTGACCATGTCGCTCATTCGTACTTTACTGGCCGGCTCCGTCTTCGATGAGCCATGCCTGCGTTGATCAACCTGTCTAGTCTACCCCAGAGCGGCGGGAAGGCAAACAAGCACGACAGGGAGTGAGATGTTCGGCGCATACGGGATACGGATAGCCACAAATCGACATGGTTTACGGCGTAATCTCCAACAATCAGCTGCAATCGTTCTTTATAACTGCAGTTGTGCCTGACAAAATCGCCATCGTCATTGTACAACACGCTTCCTGCTCTCAACCGCCAATGAGGGCCAGTGAGTGTTGCGGCAAGCTGCAGAAACATGCTCGTGGCGCATCTCTCCAGCCAAGCTCGGCTCAAACATCCCCGCGAATTCAAATTCTGTCAGATCTTCCATGGCACCATGCGAGAGAGACACGTTTGCCATGAGCAGAATATTTTACAACACCTCAACCCCCGTGCCCCCAAGTCTTGATCATCGCGGACGTGTAGTCATCCGCTTGGGTCATCGACTGTACTAGTACGCGGTACCGATATCCGTCATGTATTGAGGCGAAGTCTGAGGCACAAAGCAAATTTAATTACACTCTCGGCATGCAAGCATCCATAATGCAGACAAACACACACTTGCTAAACATGTCACATCAGCTTCCCTCCGCTTGAGTCTTGACTGCTCTGGCCGTGAATCTGCTCAGTACCTACCACGGATTCCTCTATCTGCTCACTCCATGGCCTTCTCGTCTCTTGTATTCGCTGAATGGAACATCCAATCATCGAAAGTAGGCTTTGGTTCGTTAACACGTAGGCTTCTCCGATGTTTGAGCCAGATTTGCCCGCCAACTCCATCACGGATTCCACTCTGCATTCGCCCAGTAATCGGCCGAGAGAAAGAGGAGAAAGAGGATCAGGAGGAGAGACAGAGGCGGAGAACAAAAGCAGACCACTCGCTCGTTCGCTTCTCTGCAGCCCACCTGCCGCCTGCGTGGCGCACCACAGATTCGCCCTTGTCGCGGCTTATGCAGGTGTCGTTTGAGCATTTGAGTGGATGAACCGGCTCGTCAATCGCCCTGCTACGCCTGGGCTTTTTTCCCCCCATTACTCGCGAGCCCGCGAAGGTGTGATGTACTTACAGTACGCAGGATGGTGGTGGCCACGGAAGGACGCATAATGAAGGTCATTTAATTGGCTTCCCCTTAGGCCAGGTCTCCATTCGCAGGGAGGCGATGGCGATCTGCCATGATGGCGGATCACGATCATTGGACTGGCCTCACAGAAACGAAGCAGAAGGAAGAAGGTTGAAAAAGCGTCTTCATGCTGTGTAGTGTGAAAGATCTAGATTCCGGAGCAGAAGCTACGCCTGGTCAATCACCACCACTGAATCTACGGGTAGTGGTCAACGTCCGAACTAGACGCAAGGCAACGCAACCTGAACAGTGGTATTTTGGAGACGATATGAACCACCATCTATGCATCTAGCAGACGGGCCGGGGATGAAACTCGACTGCATAATACCAGCCCAAGTGTGATCTGCAAGTGGGATGGTTATTGATGGTTCGATGTTGTTGGAGATGTTACTCCAAAGGCTAAGGCAAATACTCCGTGCCGCGATAAAATAAAGCACATCACGGGAAGCGAAGTCTGTGGGCAAAATGTTCATCAGACTTGCAGTTGAGGTTACCTTGACGAACCAGGGTAAAGGCGACTAAAACTTTCCGGGTCCACTGTCTCTCTCTACCTTATGCGACGCTGCCAGGAACAATCGGGACAATCCCGCGCCAGCATCGTGTCGTATCGTTTGACGGCTACGGACACGACGCCGAAGAGTACGGGGTGAGCGATGGAGACTTGTGGGTGATGGTGGTGCAGAATTTTTTTCTTTTCTTCCATTTGCTTCGCGTTCTGGCTCGGCTCACTGCCTTCAGTCTCCGCGGTGTCCCTCCCCCCCCCATCTTGCTGCTGCGCCCATGTCTGGCTGGGTAAATTGCAAACTGTCAGTTAAACTACGTCGAGACCAACGACGCGGGCCATGCAAATCAAGCAAGCGAGCTGAGCTGAGCACCAACACATCGTTGCTGCAAGGTGAAGGTCTGAAGACGGGAAAATCGATAAAGGTTGGTGGTGGTTACCACACAAGACAGGGCCAGATTCATCTCGTCTGCGTCTCGTTTGGGGGACTGCGCCGCGGCCAACAAGACAAACTGCCGCTGCATCGATCGGTCAGGCGCCTTTTCGGCCTATTGATTTGCGAATTGGGATGGTGATGGCGGTGTCGAGTGAGAGCCAAATAAGTTGATCACCAGTCTATCGTCTGCGTGTCCAAACTCTTTTTTCCCCTGCTGTTTGGTCAGCTCGATGCCCCTCCATTGTGTCGCGGGGGAGATTGATGGTCGTATTCCGGTTCCTATGGACAAATGAGATTTCCGGAACTCAGATTCCGGAACGAAGCCCAAAGGCTGGATGATAGATCCGAGGTCTGGATTGGATCGTCGCAAAAACACCATGGCGAAAAACACCATCGCGTAGCCTACTAGCGTTGAGGGACATCGAATTGGGAGATTCCTTAGGCGTGTCCGGCTCTTCGTATTTTCGGTTTCTTCGGTTGCCTCCACGGGATCTACGAGTCCGAAGAGGTGATGAATCAACATACGTATCTAGTGTGCTAGTGTTGTCCTCTATTGAGATGCACGAGAGGACCTATACCTCTCCTAGCCAAGGAGTCAATTCCTCTTGATCCCTCGCGTCGTCGTGGTGCGACGTGATAACTTATCCCACGCTTAGCCTCCTTCATCGCCTCCTGCTCCCTCGGCCTCGTATCCCGTCACCAGCGTTCCACGAGATCTTGGAAGCTCTTTGAATTGAGCCACCCGCAGCGGGAAGCTGCCTTTGAACCGTATTTGTCCACGGGTTTGCCTACATCCATACTTTGCGTCGGTTGTTCGATGTGCTACTTGAGGTGTTTGATGAAGCATATATCCTTCCTTTCTGACTAATAATGTTGATTGCATGGTTTTTGGTATCTTGTCATGGCCTGATGAGCTACTTTGACAACGCCTCTACTCCTTTCCTATGCTTGTTGAGGCCGCCATGGCATCGTCTTCCTTCTTCGTCTGAGCACTTCCGTCCCCGTCCCTGCTGTGACGTAGCTGACCGAGCAGCTATGGTGCAATGGCCAGTCGTAAGCTTTACCTGCTATGCTCATCTCCCGCTGTAATCAAGCGGCATGCGCGTATACTCATGCTTCTCATGTCCACATTGACGGCACCACGCCCTTACCCTTCCGTCCGACGCCCCGCGGCTGTCCACGACCGCCGCCTCTTGGGGTCATACCGCCGCCCATCATCTCCATGGTCTGCTCATCGGTAGGGAACTCGGTAGATCGGAAGCCTTCGCCCTCCTTGAACATGGTAGTGTACAAATTCGAGACAGATTGCGTCAGTTCGTACAAAGCCTTGGTACGATCGCTGTCCGCGTCCGATTGAATCTCGAGAGTGCCGGCTTGCTGGTCAATCTTGCCCTGGATCTTGCCGTCAACGATGAGGAAACCGAGGATGTCTTGAACTTCGGGCTCTGAGATCTTTAGTTGCTTCGCGATCCATGACAGCTTCATTCGTGTGTACGGTGCAATCAGCTTCAGGACGCCCTTCGTCCTCATGTTGCGCGTGACTTCGTCAATGTTCTCAGCGATGAATGGGTCGGCGAGAATGTCTTGGTTCTTCTGCAGGACATTTTCGTAGGCGTGGACGTCGTCACGCTGGTACGCGTCCACCAAGTCGGTCATGGCAGTGATTCGGGGATCCTGCTTGTACGGCTTGGTCTCCTGCGAGTCGAACGGGTTGATGGTAGACTTGACAAGCATAGTCGTAAGAAGTAGGTACTTGAGCACCTGAATTCGCTGGAGCGAGCCGGCCTCATCGTAGTTGCGGAAGGATTCGAAGAAGTCCGTCTGGGCTTCGGCCCAGTTCTCCTCGCTCATGTGCATCTTGCCACCGCATTCGCGAATGATGCCCATGATTTTGGGGTGAGGTACAGCGGACCGGACCTTGAGGGCGCGCTGGTAGAGTCTCTTCAGCTGCTTGTTGTTCTTGGTCTCGGCGTGCATCTGGATCTCGAGGGCGTATATCTCCATAGAATATGTGCCCTTGCTGGGATCGTCACTGCCGTCTTCCTTCTGACAAGCCTTATGGAGGTCCCTCAGCTTCTTGGTGACCGTGTTGTAGTCCTTGCGGTCGAGGAGGAGTTTGGCCAGCTTGATGTTCGTCTTCAGCCATAGCCTCTCGTTGTTTGTGCTCTGGAAGCTCTCGAGTGTGAGCGAGTAGAACTTCTCGACGCACGCCACGGCCTTGGGGCTGTCTGATCCCTTCTCAATGTAGTCCAGCATGTTATTGATCGACTTCTCGGAGTAATTTCTTGTCACGGCCGACTTGACGTAGGTCAACAACTCGGCATAATGTTCCGTCGCCTGGTTCCGAAATCAGTATTTCCCTTCTATTGGTAGCAGGACTTTCTTCAGGAAGTCTAGATTGGTTGTACCTTCTCATACTGTCCCAGCTTGAACTCGAGTTTGATGGCTTGTTTCAAGCCTTTGAAGCCCCATTCGCCCTTTTCCTCCTCTAACGGTGGTATGCCCAAGAATTCGGCAATAGCATCCTCGGGATCGGTAAGCTTAAGTTGCTTCGCATTGTAGTATTTGTTCTCGATGCCGACATCTCCGGAGTCCTCATCGTCGTCTTCCTCGTACTCAAAGTCGTACCTGCGCCTAGTCAGTCTCGGCGGTTCCTGCTACAAAACCCATAGCTGACAGGCCCATCTGGGGGAAGCTCACTGCTCCTCATCAGACTCCTGCATGAAGTCCTCGTCGTCAGACATCTTGACTGCGTGAGGGGATTGTGGAGTATTCACGAAAAGGCGATCGCAAGGAGTGCGCTTTGGTGACTGGACTGGAGAATAGCTATAGGAAAAGGTGTGGTGGAAGAATTTGTAGGTTTGTTCGTCGTTGGAAATTGAACGTGAAGGTAGTAAGGCTGATTGACAATGAGCAGGGCAGTTCCAGGCAGGTGCAGCTGTGGTGGACAATGAATGGAAGGCGGGGGGAGCTTATCGATTGGCAGACCCACCAACGGCCTCTGATTGCGCACTGGCCACATGAACGGAGGCGACTTTTGGCTTCCATGGCTTTTTTGACTCGAACCCAGCCGTGCCAGCCTTTTGACTTTCATCTGCCTAGTTTCAACCTCCATCTCTCCCAACAACCTACATCTCCAACAGATTTCCACACGACTCACTTTCCGGCTTTGCCCATTCTCTAACAATTGTCGACGAATACTCCAGTATACTCGACTAAGCAGTCGGCAAGATGGGTGGCGATCTCAACTTGAAGAAGAGTTTCCACCCTTCTCTCATCAAGAACCAGGCCAAGGTCTGGGAAGAGGAACGCAAAGCCCTCGATGAGCGCAAGAAGACACAGCAGCGCATCAACGAGCTCAAGGAAGAGCGCGAGCGCGAAGAACTCCAGAAGAAGCTCGAGGCTGCAGGGCACACCAAACGAGTCGACCGCGTCGAGTTTCTTTACAGCGGACCTACCGATGGACAGACCGGCACGACCGAGGAGCGCGAGAGCTACCTCTTAGGCAAGCGCCGCATCGACAACTTGCTCAAGGGAACGGAACACAAGAACTTGGAGAAGCAAGCCGGGCAGGAGAGTTTCATGGCCCTACAGACGGCCAACACCGCACGCGACACAGCAGCCAAAGTTCGAGAAGACCCCCTGCTTGCCATCAAGCGACAGGAGCAGGCCGCCTACGAAGCCATGATGAATGATCCCATCAAGCGTCGGCAGTTACTTGCATCCATGGGTATGGCAGACGATAAATCAAAGTCGAAAGGAAAGGAGGAGCGGCACAAGAGAAGGCACCACAGGCATCGGAATGACGACGACGATCGGGAAAGACACCGCAAAAGGCGGCGATCTTATTCAAGGTCACGAAGCCCGCGCCGTCGGAGAGACGACCATGACGAGGCAGAGCGCTCTGAAAGGCGGCGTCGACGCAGCGATTCAGAAGACAGGCACCACCAGCGCAGACGCACTTCTAGATCCCGATCTCCTCGAAGACGCGACTCTGGCGAGAAGGACGATTACGACAGACGCGATCGACGCGACAGGCGTGACGACCGCGAACGGCGGCGCCGAGACTCAGTGTCCGAGGACGAACGACCCGTCAGGCCACGGGAGAGATCGCCACGAAGTCACGACAGGCGTGGCGACCGGGATGGAGAGGCTTCAGTTTCCCGGGGTCGCCGAAACAACGATAATCATCGGCAAGGGCCTGACAGACGACCTGCTGCCCGTACCAATGGATCCAGTAGCGGCAAAGAGGTCGATGACAAGGGCGCTGAGGAGGCAAGGGCTCGCAAGTTGGCGGCGATGCAGGCAGCCGCTTCAGATCTCGACACAGATCGGGAGCGCCGACTGGCTGCGCTTGAAGAACGGGAGAACGCCGCGCGACAAGCCGATGATCAGGCGAGAGAACGATCATCCAAGTTTGGAGACAGGCAATTTGTGAACGGTCTGCATCGGAAGGCCGGCAACATGAGCCTCGGGGAGAGGATGGGCCGTAGTAGGCAGGGTCTGCAGAGAGACGATGACTGAGGGGTGGATGCGATAGAACCGGCGAGACCTGGCCGAATCAAATTGAATACCACACAAACTACCAGCTTGCGGGGCAAACCTGAAGCGGAGGTTGAGGATTCGCGGGGCAAAGGTCGAGCGCCAAAGAGCGGGCGCCGTGCGAGCCGACAGAACGGAGCTGGGTCGCAGTAGCCATCGATCGCCTATGCATGGTCGGGCCCGGCGGGAGCGAAGTCGGGATGGGACGCTGCCGGAAGACGGAAGGGAGGGAGGACGTGCTTAAGCGTGTCCATGGATTCGGCGCAAGAAAGGGTTGAAAGCTTTAGTGCCGCCGACTGCACGTCATGGATGGATTCTAGAATGCGAGGCATGTTGCAGGCTGCACACACGGTGATGGAACGCTGTAATGGATACCCAAGACACGGCGACGAACGTTGCCGTGTAACGAACAAGTAGAAAAATTCAACAATAATCGAATACTTGACGATACGGTGGCACGCAATCTTACATAAGACCTTGTGAGAAACAGCGAGTGAGCACTGACAATGGGGTATCCGGGGGAACGGCACTCGGACTGGGTGCGGGAGGCGTCGTCGGGCGCAACAAGGGGGGTTGAGGATCCGAAGCACAATGGAGCGGCGAACGGGTGCTTGGCGAAGGGGTGATGATGCGTCACGATTCTTGGCTGTGCCTCAATGTTCCGTTGCGCAAGGGTTGCGTTGTCAGTGAGGCTGACGATGCCAGCTGCCTTTGCCTCACTGATGGGGAAGGTCATGGAGTGATGAGGGGTAATGAGGGGTGTTGATGAGCTGCAAAGAGGGGCAGAATATGATCCCGGAATGCCTTCAGACACTGCGGTCAACTGAGAGTTCTCGCTGCGCTGCTGAATAAGGTATCTTAAGGGAATAACGAGAACAATCGAACCGAATACCTAGGACCAAAAGACCTTCACTTCGCACGGAATAAACACGGGCCCGGGCCTTTTGCCTTTAGGGTGAATGGTGTGGTGGATTCGCCCATGTCTCTCGATCCGAAAAACAGGCGCCGCTCTCGGGGCTTCCAGCGAGTCGAGCTCCGGCGCTTTGCGGCGGGAGTGTCGCTGGGATGAGTCTGCCACAAGGCGCGGTGCTTCCTTGGCTAGCGATGGAGTTTTTTTTTTTTTTTTTTTTGAGTAGTGGAGAGCGTTTGTTTTGACAGAGGTGGATATCGGATTTCCTTCCTTGGTTCGTTGCAGTGTGGACTATCGAATGACGATGGGTGGGATGAGTGAGCGGCGCAGCGAGTCGTACAGCCCACGACAAGTAGAGGTTGAGCGGCGGGATTTATGAGGTGAAACCAGAGGATTGCGTATTCTCGCTTCAAATTTTGGCCAGTATATCGTGATGGCTTCAGCATACATTGGAGCTGCATATTCGTCTGTGAGTGAGACGGAGGTACAAGGTTTGTGTGGATAGAGGTCGGGGGATTTGACGATGAATCGTGTATGACTGGCGTTCTCGAAAGGTGCCGCAGCCGGGCGAAAGAGCGGAAGATAAGGTGGACTCGGCTTACAGCGCAACCGAGTTCTGGCGGAGGTTTCTGGCGTCCAGTACCGAATACTCTCTTGTACCAGATAGCCCTCGATGCCTTCCTATACGTGAGTATCTGGTGCCCCTCGTTGACCTTGTCTGCCCCATTCCGCTCAGCTGTCTTACCAAGAACGGCCTTGACGGGACTCGAGTTGAGGGGTTCCGGGGGCCCTCAAGCGCCACTCGGCCATGTTGTGGCAGGGGGGGGGGGGAGAGAGAAAAGCCAAAAGGCTAAGCTGGAAAAGCATTGGATCAATGATGCCGTTTTGGCGAGACCTCATAGTCGGCCTCAGCTCAGCTCACATTGGACGCGCACTGGCCCATGCCCCGAGCCTCTTCATCTTCATGGCGTCCATCCTGGTGATTTGTGAGAGGGATATTTCATGACTTTGTTGGAGGTTGCGGGTACGTTCGGGACGAAGGGCAACTAATGGCTTATTGGGAGGGATTCTCTTTTCTTTTCTCGCGCAGTTCAATCTGATTTCCCTGTCGTGACATGTCTGCAGCTCGATAGTGGGTGCAGATGCGCGCAATTGTGTGGCGGGGAAGTCTCCACTCGTTCAAGTTGTTTCTTCCCAGTTCGCATCTACGGATATTTTAGCGTCTTCGTACACTTTCGGAGGCAGAAGTAGATATCCGTACGCTGCAAACTGGAGTCGCAGCCCAAGTGATTGGTCTCCTGGTCGATAACGGAGCAAGCGTGTCAAGTTGGACAGGTAGGTATCCGTAGAGTGTCCGTATGTGTGCTCAGGGCATTCTTTGGTAGAGGGGCCTCCGTAGCTCGGTGGAGGCGCTCAGTCAGTGACATTCATGAGGTTCCCCATTCCGGTCCTTGTGGATTCGTCCAAGTGTACTGAGTGACGACGAGTGACGGAGTACGCAATCACGCAGCCTCCCTGCGCTGGTCCCCTTTTCTGCTCTGGTCTGGCTGGTGCTGAAGTGTATCACCATGGAAGAAGAAGAAGAAGATGATGATGATGATGATGATGATGATGATAGTATATCAATGTTTTTCCCACACAGAACAAAAGGTTTCTTAGGTAACAGCTTGGGAAGGTGCCCATTTTCAAAGTCCCAGTGGCTCCTGCCTGTCCCTACCTTATCCAGCTGGGTGGCTTCCTTCCTCAGGTCCCCAAAAGTCCATTTCCAGCCCAGCGCCAAAAAGGCAATGAGTGTTGTGTTCCTCCGTCTCCTTTCCTCCTAGGCTCACCCCGGCAAGAGGTGCCTGACCCTGTCCGCTATTGCTCTTTTCTGCTCCATTGAGTGGCCCTCTGACACGATCTCAGCCAATTGAGCAGCGCACCTTCTTCCAACCCAATTTCAATTTCCCGCTCCTGCATCTTTTGCTCACCCCAAATTCACACTTGCACCTTTTACCTCATTTTGGTCTCCAGTGCCTGCCTCTTTCTCCCATCTGTTTCTTCTCATCTGCCTGCTCTGCGCCTGCCTTTCCTCTGCCTCACATCACAGTCACAGCCATCCCCCAAGCCACTCCGCTTTGCCTGGCACTTTCCTCTCCAGCGAAAAGAGGCACTGTTGCACTGCATCTACGGAAAGAGCACTGGGCCTTGGACCTTCCTTGCTCTTTTTGTTCCCCACCGTTCCCTTCCATTATTCCTGCACCTGCACCTGGACCGCACCGTACCGTGCCTTCCTTCCTGCGTTACCATCAATTTACCTCCCTTCCACTTCCAGTGGCATTTACCCCAAAGTCCATCGGCCTTTCTTTGTCCATTTCCTTTCACCACCACCTCGCGCACCAACCAGCCGTGCCAACCCACCTCCAAACAACAACCCAGAACCATCTCTGGTACCTTCCCCTTGCTGATCGACCGACGAACCACGAACTCTCCCCCCCAGATTCCTCCTACTGGCCGACTGCATCCTTTTCTGCTTTCCACAAACAACCAAGCAAACCGATCTCGTACAGCACCGCACCGACTCGCCTCACCTCGATCAACCCTCCCTAACCGACTTCCTACAACCCGACCGAATCCACCTCCTTCAGATCACCCAGTATGCCTTTGTGCGGTGGTAACAAGACCGTCCAGCGCAAGCTGGTCCTCCTGTGAGACCTCCTCGACCTTCTCTTTGTGTTACCTCCTTGGTGGCTGCGATTGGGAGTGTTTGGCTAATTGACTTGCGACCTGCAGTGGCGATGGCGCGTGCGGCAAGACATCGTTGTTGAACGTCTTTACCAGAGGGTAATTCCAATACTATCTCCTTCAACCCTTAAGCCTTAGGGCCCGGCCTTTTCCGGGTTTCCAATTGCGCATCTCTTGCTGACTTGACCCAGCTACTTCCCGACCGTCTACGAGCCCACTGTATTCGAGAACTACGTCCATGGTACGATACCTCGATTCCCAGCGAAAGGCGCCAAGTCGCAAGATGCCTCCGTCGCGATCCTCCCTCTGCGATTTGAAAACTGACCTGAGATTGCTAGACATCTTCGTCGACAGTGTCCACATCGAGCTTTCCCTCTGGGATACCGCTGGCCAGGAAGAGTTCGACCGCCTCCGCAGCTTGTCTTACGGTACGGGATTCTAATATTGGGTGAATTAAGAAGTCGCTTGCTGATTAGGCGTAGACGATACCGACCTCATCATGCTCTGCTATAGCGTCGACAGCAAGGACTCCCTCGAGAACGTCGAGAGCAAGTGGGTTGGAGAGATCGCCGACAACTGTCCCGGCGTGAAGTTGGTTCTGGTCGCCCTCAAGTGCGATCTCCGCGAGGCCGATAATGAGGAGGAGGAGGCCGCCGAGGGCCAGCAGCGAGAGAAGCGTCCCATGATCTCTTACGAGCAGGGCTTGGAGGTCGCTCGCCGCATCAATGCCCTCCGCTACCTCGAGTGCTCTGCCATGCGCAACCGCGGTGTCAACGAGGCCTTCACCGAGGCCGCTCGCGTCGCCCTAAGTGTCAAGAAGGATCGTGAAGAGTCTCAGTGCGTCATTATGTGAGAAACATCACGGTGGTGCATCCATTTCTTGCCATGATCGTTCTTCATCTTCTTACGACCACGATCAAACGAGCGGCCCTTGTTTCGGACGGATTCGAATTCCATTTTTTCAGTGTTTGGCACTTGGAAGGCGTCGGCGTTCCTACGGATTGGACCTTCCAACCTCGACTTGCATCTCGGCCTTTAACCTATGTCTTTTATTACAGCCCGCCCAGCTCCTTGGGCAGACGCGACCTTTTTCCCTTTCACTTCGGCGGCTATCTACGGATTGTGTCGCCGACATGAGTTCTTGATACCTTTGGGCACTGACCACTTTTGAGCCAAAAATGTAAATACCCGTTTCACTTCACAATGCACATACAGGGTTGGAGGATCAGGTTTCATTCCCTTTGTCGCTTTCGGTCTTCAGCGCATCCGCAGAAGGACAGCACGGCCGGAGGAACGGCGTGCTCAGCAGGTGGCAGGTGGATGGCATGAGGTATTGGATCAGGGTACTAGAAATCTCGGATGAAAGCTCAACAGCAGCAGTCAATTGGGTTCTGGTCTTTTTTTCCATTAGCCTATTCTCAAGCAAGCGAGAAAAGTTGTCACTAGATAGATGACCCCTAATGAACTCTGTCACTATGCTCAAAGTCTTTGAAATCAGTAAACCCCTCAACCACCACCGCCACCATCTTGCTTGCAATGAACCGGACTCGGAGCTGCGGTCAATCTATTAGAAAGCGTCGCGTCACGGATCGTCGCCTTGAGTAAGAAACTTCCGAGAACCTAATCGCTAGGGCCAAGGAATCTGACGCTGCAGATTCTCGTGTCCGCTCCGGTTAGAGCCAGAGGATGAGGGGAGGAATGAGTGGTGTCGACCGGGTGTCAAAGCTGAGAATTTGCGAGGGGGTGTTCCGGGAACACCCCCGATCCGTGCTGACTCATTCGGAGCTGAGTAGATTCTCCGGTTACAGTCGGACTGGAGAACTGGAGAACGGCGGGCAGATCATGGAGGGGTCTTGTCAGCTTGTCAGCACTGTCAGACATGCCTCAGACCTTTTCCTGTCGGCAAAGTTTTGTCTTTCTAATTTGACGAAGCTCTCTGTAGGACCTCAAGAACGCTTTCATGAAAATTGCGGCATCAATATCCTTGCGTCACAAGCATTGATCTTGTGTTCGTCAAATAGTTCATTTCTCGACTTGTTATATAGGTAATGTTTGCGTTTCCGAACCGTCGCTCATGCGTGTTATAGTAGTAATACATCGTGTGAAATCTTTTGTGCCGCTCTTCCAACTCCGTGTTGTTCGACGTTCGCCATGATACAGATCATGAACTCATAAATACAAAAGAAATACTGCTGGATTTCTCTCAACCGCACCACTCACGTTCGTGACTTTAATCTCCGTGACGTCCCAAAGCCTTGCCACGCTTGGAAACCTCGCGGGCATGGTACTGCTTGATCTTGGCCCGTCTGGCCTCCTCCTTGGCCTCCTCCTCAAGCCTTCGCACATCAGCCCTCGCAGCAGCAACGCTCTCCCGCGCAGCCATGAGCGCGCGGTCGGCCTCCTTCTCAGCCGCCTCGGCGCCCATGACGCGCTCACGAGCCTGCACGATGCTGGGGTCCATTTCTACGCCTCCGCCGCCAAACTTGTGCAGGAGACCGCCCCGGCGACCGGATGACGCATCGGTGGAGCGGCGGAAGAGGCCGCCTCCGCCGGTGTGGTGGCCATCAGGGGAGGTGTGGTAGGTAGTTGACGACAAAGAGGAATGGGAGGTCGCGGAGGTGCGGGATGTGCGAGCAGTCGGCGTGGGGGAAGGGTCACGGCGAGAGGAGCCGAAGAGGCCGTGCTTGCGGGGCGCGGGCTCGGCGACGGGTTGGTGGTGGACTGGCTCCGGGGAAGG